AGCTCAATTTTAATATCCTCTTAATTAATTAATTTTTTGGCAGACTGTGTGTGTGTATGTATGTGTGTGTATGTGTATGTAATTATTAAGTATGCCTGGGTCAGAAGATAACATAGATATTATACCTTGAAAGGTCTGCAGAATGGCTGGCTTGGTTCTGAAAAATTGACATCATACAGTCTCCAGTTTTGGTATCTTTAAAAGGTTATTTCTGTTGCCCTTCAGGTTTTCAGGCATCCTAGATGTGTTACGGAAATCCATAAAAGTATAGATTTTAGAACATTGTTGCTAGGGCTGCTGGTAGATCTAAATTCCTTGTACTGTTACGTAACTCATGACTCTTGAGCACAGCAGCCTTCACTAGTAGCTCAGCTACCAGAGACCGCGATTATCTCTTAAAAGAAACCACAGTCTGCTGAAAAAATAATTCCTACAGTTCTCAGCAAAGTTCTCAAAAGTTTTCTGGGAAGCACTGTTACATTCACCTACTAACAGGAAATAGTACCCTCTTGAGTACCTTCTACTCAGTTCCAGATGCTACTCCATCCTTTTAATCCTCCCAGTAGTCCTCTAGGTAGGCTTCAGCATTCCCGTTTGTCAGGGAAGGGCAGACTTAGAGAACCTGAGTGACGGGCCCGAGTCCTGGAGCTGGGAAATGGTGGAGCTGGGATTTGAGCCGTGGTGCGCTGGCCTGTGTTCCTTTCCCTGCGGTCTGTGTTCTTCAGCTGGCAGCGCCTGACCAGGTGGTAGTATGACCATTCTGGGTTAGCTCTCCTTCAAGAGGAAACTTAGACCATTGATTTTTAACCAGGGGTAGCTTTGTCCCCGAAGGGGACATTTGGCAATGTTCGGAGACATTTTTGGTTGTCACAGTGATGGAGGGGTACCACGGGCATTTGGCGGTTGGAGGACAGGGGTGCTGCTAAACATCTAACAGTGCACAGGACAGGTTTCCACCCCGATTTGTCTCAGCCAGATGGCAGTCGTGCCGAGATGGAGAACCCCTGTGTGAGACGGCACCCCCAAGTGTACCGCCAGACTCGGTCCTTCCTCCTCTGGTTTGTTTGTTTCTGTGATGAGTGCTCATCCTGGCCCTGCTCTCTGTCACTCTACCCAGGAAGGAAATGGTGGCCTTCTAGCTGCTTTCCCATGACTAGGTGGCCTCACTGCTGTGGATTGGTCAGCAGGGGAGCTAGCAGACCCCACTTGTCCCAGAGTTCCCAGCCCACCCAGGCCAAACCACAGCCAGGATTCAGGTTCCCTTCAGCATCACTCAGAGCACTCTCCTCACTGCACGCAGATGGGCCGTGTGCGTCTGGGTGTGGCTCCTGTTTTCTCTCTCTGTGACTTTCTCAGGTCTCCTCCTTTGCCTAAGAAAGAACCCATTGAAATCTTTCCCATTTTTCCTCAGGTCAGATGTTACTTCCTCCATAACCCCCTGCTGGAAGTAGTTACACCTGTCCATAAACTCCTATGTATAACATTTATTCTTTTTGTTTAACATACTGATTTGTCCTCGTTTTCCCACCTTCAGTATAAAGGGTGTAGAATTTAAAGTGCAAAATGGATAAAAACTAAAATGTACCCATTATGTAGGATTATTCTTTGTATACAATCCATTTGATTCAAACCAGTAATGATGCCCTGTTTTTTGTAGGCCTATTTGGCACAATTAATTACAAAGTAAGAATCTTGGTGTTTATATTTACTTTGGAATAGACTTCATATTTGGTTTCAGTCAAGATTTTGGGCAGCCACCATCCCCCCCCCCCATTTCTGGTTCTTTAAATGGCTCAACTATTGGGTTGTCGGAAAAGTCATGATGTATTTTTTTGTATGTTTTTCGTTGCAAAAATGCATCATGACTTTTCTGACAATCCAATATTTTCTATTTTAGCAGAAGTTTTCGTTGTTGAGCCTTTCTGGCCTTTTGGTAAAGACTGTGTTTATACCTCTCATTTAAGCAGAAAGCATCCTACTTCATTAGAGAAGGCTCCTTTGGCATATTTTAGGATTTAGCCACTTCCTTTATAAACATGAGGCATTTCTCAAATTGTAGCTCTGATTCATTTCTGACCTGCTGACTTGACATGAGAAGTAGTAGCTGCTAAGAAGGGTGATACTGCATTCACCCTGGGGAAGTCTCTTAAGGCCCTCACCTGGGCTAAGGCTGTGGGAAGCCTTAGCGTGCTGCCATGGTGTATGGTTAATGGCCAGGGGCACACAGACCACCCGCCTCAAGCTGTAGCCCCCAGAGCTGTCCAATGGAAGGACATTGTTTGAGCCTTTATTCTTTGAGTGAACCAGGAGCAATGTTAACTTTAGGGATAGCATTGGTAAGAGTCCCACAAACATTTATGGGCCCCTGATCATCATAGAGCTCATCATTAGTCATAAACATTTATGTGCAGGATGTTCTATTCTCTGGAAATTCAGAGATTAAAATAAAACAGGGTCCCTGCTGCGTGGCCGGCTCCCAGGGCCCTCACCACCTCCCTGTAGTTTGCTGCGTGTTTGCTGCATGGCAATAACTGCACATAGAGTGGCAGTAAAGTGGAGGGAGGCAGTAACTCGGTCTGGGTGATTGGCAAACCCTGGAGAGAGGACTTTGTGCCAGGCCTTGCTGGGTAAGTGCTTTCCAACTTACTGCCCTTACTGGCTTGACAGTGTGCTAACACAGTTTATAAATATTTACCAAAGTGATAAAAAGTTAAGATAGACGGATGTATTCATGTGGTACCATGTAGTTAATGCTAAATAAGAAATGTAACATTGAATGAATTAGTTAGTCAAGCTGGGGAGAGGTATAGATTCAAGTTTGGCCTCCTTTGTTTACTGAAATGAGGGATTGGGCCTGAGCGGTGCAGTTGCTGGGACTTAGGGAAAAATAAGATTTGGCCTCATAACTGACGTGTGTGTTTTCGTGGCCCTGGTGGTAACCGCGTCTCCCTCTCTGCCTGTCCACTGTCTCCGGGGGCTTTTGTGCATGGGTGTGGTGGTATGCAGCGGTGGGCACCTGAAACCCTGTTCCTAATGCTGTTAGATTTTCCTTTTCAGAGTAAGAGGGACCATCTACTCATGAACGTCAAATGGTACTACCGCCAGTCTGAAGTTCCCGATTCTGTGTATCAGCACTTGGTTCAGGATCGGCATAATGAAAATGGTAAATACGGCCTTCGGGCTCAATTCTTACACTTTCTTAGCTCCGGGCAGATTTCTTTCTAAAAACATTCGTTAAATGGAGACGACTTCCATGGAAAATTTTCTCTCAAAAAGCTTTTTATAAATAACGACATTACTAGAATGTTCATTTTGTTTGCTGAGTTCTTTTATTATTTTTGCCTCTAAAAAGAAATGACCTGAGCATGTGCTAATGGCGCCTTCCCATAAACTGGAATAGAGATAGGTCTACTTTGGACATAACAGTAGCTTCATTTCTCATCCCCTTTCCCACCTAATGATGAACTCATAATACCACAAACCCTGCAGGGTTGTGTTTTCTTTCTTTTCTCCTTTTCAGTAATCTGTGTTACTGAACGTCTCTGTAGCCACGGTTTTGAACTTCAGTTTTCAAGGCAATGCTCTTTTGAATGTTTTGGAATTCAACTTGAGTCTTGACTTTCAGAACAATAAGAAGGTTGTTCAGAGCATCTTTTATTTTTTTTTCTCCCTCTGGCATTGTAGTTTCTACTTGGGAACTTTATTGACATGTGAGATATGTACATAAAATGTATATTACATTTGTTCAGATGTATTATAGCTCCTTTTTATTGATTTTTGAGAAGTGCTGGGCCTCATGAGAGCTGATTCACATTTGTTACCCATTAATTATATGAGTTAGGGTTTGTCGCTCCCCACTTCCAGATGAGGAAATTGAGGCTTAGATATGCTTAGGAGTTGCCAAGGCCACAGATCTTCTAAGTGGCGGCCTCTGGGCAGGGGTCCAGCTCTGTCTGTCTCGGATGACCGAGCTCCTCCCCACTGCTTTTGGTGATAGGTTTGAATTCAACAAACCAGTAGTCAGAAATAGTTTTGAAGAATGATGTTCTTTTATATCTTACTATTTTTTTTCTCTCCTTTGAAACTATAAAAATTTCTGTTAAAACAAAGTATAGTTTGTTATTAAAAATAGTAACTTGGTTATCCTTTGCAATGGAATGGAAACAGTGTGATTTCACCCCATCCTGGAATATTTAGCATTAAAAAATAAGATGGGCAGGATCGCTGAATATTTAGTAGTTTTACAAGTTGCTAAAATGTGACAGTTGTTTCTTCTCTTTTTTCCTTTTTTTATTTTATACTTTATGCATTTTAGCAAACTGGGGGGCTTCAGTAAAGGGTAGAAAACATACCCGACACAATACTTTGTTCCTGTTATTTCTGCTGGACATTATTCCTCTCCTCTATTTTGCTGACCAGGCCTGGTCATTTGTTGTGCTTTCTCTAGTGGGAGGTGAACCTGAAAGAAAAATTTTGCAAAATTTTTCTAATTGTTTTGGGAAGCTCAATTTTAATATCCTCTTAATTAATTAATTTTTTGGCAGACTCTGGAAGAGAGCTTGTCATTACAGACCCAGTAATCAAGAACCGAGAGCTCTTCATTTCCGATTACGTAGACACCTACCATGCTGCTGCCCTCAGGTAAGTGCCAGAGACGCAGTCTTTGCTGCGAAGAAGTCATCGAGCACGGGAGGCAGAGAGGCCAAGCTGTCCGGCTCTCTTTTGATAATTACGATATCGATCAGATTACTCCTGGGGTCTCCTCTCCGGAAGCTGACATTCCAGTGTTAACTCTGGATTATTGGGATTTCAGAGGTGGCCTGTATCTTCACTCATCTGTGTGTGGGGAAGAAACCCTTTTTTTTTTCCTATTTAATTTTTTACACCCTCTCTATAGTTTTGTATCTTTATTTGCTTGAAAATTACTATCCTGGTGTTGGTTGCTGAAGTATTTGGGGTGAGGTATGATGATGAGCTGCAGATTGTTTCCTAAAGATTCAGTCACGGCCACTGGAAAAGACAGATAAATACATGGAAGAAGCAAACACGGCAAAGTTTGTAGGACGTGTAATGACCTGTTCTTTCAATTTTCTGTATGTATGAAAAATTTTCTACTAATAAACTCAAGGGTAGGGAGAATATATTGAAGACTTGATTCAAGGCAGAAGGTAACATTGCCAATTAATCTTAATGTCTTAGGCAGTTATGCCAAAAAGTGGCCAAGAGCCCCTGCTTTGTACCCTCTGGTATTTTTTTTTTTTTTGTCTGTCTCTTTCAAGAAAAGGACACACATATATTCTGATATATTTTCTTTTTTACCTCTGCACACCTGCAACTTTCTTCTAAAGCCATTTTATTTATAGTATGTAGAAGTTCTTTGGGTTTTTTTAAAGATTTTTATTGGGGTATTGGGGGGAAGGGAACAGTGCTGGGGAATTGGGGGAAGGGGAACAGACAAGTTGTTGTCGTTTTGTTCTTCAGTCTAGTTGTGGAGGACGTTGCTTCACTGGCCCAAGTTGGCACCATCATTGCGCTCTTCCCGGGCGAGGCAGATCAGTCGCCGGCTTCTGGACGGCCGCTCACTGTGGCTGCTGGCCGCTCACGCTGGCTGCTGGCTACACACAGTAGCCCATGGCAACCCACTGCCACAGGGGCTGCAGCCTACGCCGTCGCAGGCGACTCACGGCAGCCCAGCTCCAGGTTGAGCTGTTGTTCAGCATCTTAGCTGTGGAGGGCAGTGTCACTGGCCCTCATATGTGGGATCCGAACCGGGGCCCTCTGGCGTCCCAAGCCAGTTCTTAACCATCGCGCCACTCGGCCGGCCCAGTTCTTTGTTTTTTTAATAAATTTTTTTATTCTGGTATATTTTGTATGTAAGTGGAAGATTTTGTGCTGCTTAAGTGGTAGAGGAAGTAAGACAAGTAATAACTTTCCCCACTGGAAATAATAAAGTAGTAGAAGAACTACTTTCTTTGTTAAAGAATATGGTTTTTTAAAAAGACCATAGGGATATGCTGGCTTTTAGCTTAGCTACAATGAGATACAGTAATGTCTGTCTCGTATTGCTCAGATGGTATTCACTAAACCATCTGGAGTCTCTTGTGCAAAGATACGTAGCTAAAGCCAATTATTTCAAGGCAAATTAGTAGCAACTTTAATATAGGGCAGGTTTTGGCAAACTTTTGGGGCCCGATAATCTTTCATATGGTCTGTGTTGCAGCCACTCAGCTCAGCTGTTGTAGCACAAAAGCCACAGGCAACATACACAAGGTGGCTGTGCTCCAACAAAACGTTTTATGGACATTGAAATCTGCATTTCATTTACTTTCCACATGTCAGGAGGTTGTGTTATTCCCTTTGATTTCTTTTTTAGCCATTTAAAATGTAAAAGCCGTTCTTAGCTCTTGGGTTCTACCAAAACAGGCGGTGGGCCAGACGTGGCTCGTGGGCCACAGCTTGCCAAATCCCGCTGCAGAGGAACGAGTGTACGTGGTTAGAGCTGGCTTCCTGCAGGACTTCATCCATACATTAGGAGAATTCCCGTGGTGTTCTATAAACGTCTTCCAAAATTTCCCACAGGCTTTTCATGTCTTTGTGGCAGTGGCTTTTGAACCTTAAACTCACATGCTGAACAAAGCAAGTTAATGGAAGATTGATGGAACTTGAAATAATTAGCTAAGACAAGTGGCTTGATCCTGCAATTATTTCTCATCCTGTTTTGCATGCTTTTCCCCTCCTTTACCGGTCTTATTTTGTTGGTTGAGGTAAATGATTTTAAGCAACTTAGAGTTGAAGTTAAAACAAATAAATATTTGAGATAGATATGTAACTGGTTATTCAACATGTTTTCACACAGTTGCCTAAAATGACTATATTTATATATTTATCAGAGGCTGTACAGTTTTGTAGTGTTTTTATATTAGCATTTTTAGAAGAAACGGTTGTCCCAGATCTTCTAGCTGGACCCAGATGAATGTACTTTTACTAGGTTTACAATGATACATTTCTGAGGTGTGTAATTGTATAGGTCACTGTTCCTTCACAGGCAACTCAGGGCTGGAGTGCTAATGTGGTCATTTCTTACCCGCCTTTCACTGTGTATATGACTAGATCGCTTACGGATTCGTTTTTTTTCTTTAAAGGGCCATAAAGTGGTTTTATAAAGCTTTCATCTTAAATTTGTTTTTAGGTTCAAATAGAGTATATCTTGTGTGACTTAACAATTGGTTCCCCCCTGCCCCCTCAAAGATACCAGATGATGGTGGTCACATAGTTATTGGAAGATCTGGCCCAGTAGGTGCTTAGTAAATACAGAGGGTGCCAAAAAAATGTATTCATATTTAAGAAAGGAAAAAACTGTATTAAAATTCTAATACTCAATATATACCGATAACAAAAGATGAATACAAGTCATGTTTGACTTCTGCATTGACAAAAGATGCTCAAAGTGGTTCCATCAGTATCCAGACACTTCTGATTATGGTGAACACTGTTTGGTAGACTTCTGTGGCGAGCGTGTAAGCTGTCCCAACACCACAGCAGAAGAAGCAGGACTTGTTGCTGTGCAAGGCCTCCTGGATCATCCTTTGTGAACACCACACATAGTACCATGTGTCTCACACTTATCATGAATGTGCACACTTGTTAGGTGCGTTGGAGGTTCTGTTGCATACTCACGCCTCCATTGTCGTCGTACTTTCACAGCATTCTCATTTCAAATACCACTTCACACTTGCGCTCCTCGAATGACCACTGTGCTTCTGCCATTTTCTGTGACTGTCCTGCCTGTCGCATGGTGATGCTAGCATTCATTTGATTACCGCCATTTTTTTTGTGTGTGTGTGTTTTTTTTTTTTTAGCTGAGCCATCCTGCCACCTGTTGGTAGCTCAGTGGCAACTCAGCTCGGGCTGGGCATCGAACCGCTGTTGCTCAGAGCTCACACTCTTGCGTGAGCTCTTAACCAACTGAGCCACTCGGCCGGCCCTTGATTAACGCCATTTTTGAGCGAACATCATACTACACATTGCTACCATAATTCAATTCAGTTTCGAAAAGTAATACATAGATAGCATCTCTTAAAATGTGTTTACGTTTTTTGGCACACTTGGTAGCGTGTATGTATTGACACCTGCCCACATCTGGAACTCATCTGTGTGGGTCTTCCTGTTGCTTAGTCACCTCCCCTGGTTCTCAGCGGCAGGTTGCTCACCCAACGTCACCTTCAATAGAAGCAGAGATGAATGGCAGTGCCCCCAGGAATATCTGTTTATTCCTTTTCTCTTCACCAAAGCAAGATTACTTTTAATGTATGGGGGGAGGGGAGTTAAATGTCTTCAAATTTTTCCTTCACCGTATCCACAGAAAATTTTTTTTTCTTTTTCCATACATATAAAGCAGTACTGCCAAAAATAAATTCAATTTTGAAGAAGAGACAAATAACCCATAGGCACATGAAAGAGGACTTGATGACTGTAATGAGAAAAAAACATGCAGGACAGAAAGAAAAAGAAAGAAGAGGAAGACTGATAGTGCTAGTGCTGAGCACCATTCTCAAAGATCCAAGTGCTCAGTTGTATGGATCCGTCGGGCTCACAGTAACTCGGGGGACGCTTGCCATTTCATTGACTCAGGAGGACAATGTATAACTGTCTTGCAAGCTGGTGCTAGGCAGGGTTATAAAGGAGAGAGAGCTTTGTCCTTTAGCCATCAGGACTCGAAAGGAAGGCAGAATCCCTCGGCAGCCTCTAGTGTAAATTGACATTGTAGTATTTCCTTACCCAAAGTCAATTTATTCCGAGAGACTGTGGGACCTCCCCAGGGGTGGAAATCTGTGCTTTGCTCACATCACGGCTCTGCTGCTGCTGTGACATCTTGCCTTCGCTGCCTCCCAGCCCTCCCTTTCAAGCTAACTTTCTACAACTATTTCTTTTCTTCGTTACATTTATCAATAACCATATAGTAAAGTTAATATCTTAAGTAAAGTTTTTTGAGTTCTCTTTATTTCCAGTAAGTATTTTTGGCTGATACTGGTATAATAGAAAAAGCACCGCATTGGAATTAGAAGACTTCAGTTTGAGTCCTGGCTCTGCCGCATAGTTTTGTGACCACGTCCAAGTTTGTTAACCTTTGAGCTATCCTTTTGACAGACTTATTCCAGGTCACATGATTAAGTGACAGAACCTGAGCCAAACACACATCTTCTGGCTCACACATCATTCAGTCAAGTGAGGTGCATAAAACAGCCTCGCAGAGTATCTCACACTTAGCGGCATGAGTGTGCTTCCGCTCCTTGAATCTGAATTGAGTTCTTAAAAGCATAAAAGGGAGAAAATAAAAGGTGAAATTAAATGTAATTCTGTATCGACTTACTGATGTTAGTTACTTAGCATCCATTTATTTTAGTTTTCTGTGGCTTATCGGATGGATTAATTGGATACCAACTGCTTCAGGTATGGGGAGAAGAGTTTAACTCGAGGAGCCATCTCCTAGATGCTGTTAAGAATGAGCAGATAACCGATTCTGAGAGTGAGCAGATAAATTTTATTAAACTACATAAAAATTGTAGCTTGCAATTTGTTTGCTGTTACTTTTTATACCCTAAGGATAATGTTTTAGTGATGGTCAAAGTCTCTAGAGCAAT